TGTAGGCTTTGTGCTTAATTACAAACAAACAAACAGAGATATACATAATATATCATGCTTTGAGATTGTAGGATGAAGATATCAAGAACTAATGTTTTTGTGAATATGTTTTATTTATCATTTTATAAATAATCGACCACGCTAAAGTTTTATTACCACCCAAGAAATTATATGGTGCTTTGTTATTTTAAAACCAGCGATATACCAGGAGAGTAAAAATACCAGGAGTGTATACGAAAATAAATTAAACTTGTAATGTTCAACGCAATATATTCAAAGCCCATTTGTTTAATAGCACATTTAAAGCCAAAGCGTTGAAAAACAAAGGAATATAAATAAAATTGGGGCACCAAGACTATCCATGAAACAAGTCATACCCAAGTCGTGGTTAGCAAGGCGTGGTGTCTTGTAACAGACGAGAATTCTCGGACACAAAGGTCAGTGACAAAAGGCATCGACGTGGCCCAACAATATGCAAAATAATATACAAAGATTTATTTTGGAAAAGGGACACAAGTCATGTGTACATAAGCTGCTTGCACAGCATATCTAGGAAATGAAAACAAAATATATGAACGGTATCTACCAGGTAGTACGTGGTGACACTCGACAAAGTGTATTCTGCGCATATATTGATAACTGTTATAAGTCTTGTGCCAATTTTTACTAGTCAATGTGTGGGGAAATTTTCCAAAAGTAGTATACGGCATGTCTATAAGCTTTTTCGAAAGGATTCATACTCATCTCTGGATACTGCGCCAGTGGCAAGTTAGGGATCAGGAGAGTGAATATAAAGGTCAAGGTGAACGTTTTTACTATAAGAGCAATGTTCTGGACCCTTTATAACACAGAGAAGTACAAGCTTTGTACAGAAACGACATTACAAGGTATAGGTTCACCAAGATAAGGTTTCCAGTCATAACTCCCAAACAACTGTCGCATACTTTAAGCAACTGGAAAATATAGCGGGTATTCATTCATGCTATTCCATAAAAAGAAATTGTGATAAATTGCCGAACGCAATGCCTATGTATTTCTGTGTACTGAGAAACCTTCGTCCTTGTACATTAAATAGATTATGGAAAGCCTGTAGGGAGGGGTGGTGTGCTTTGGACATGAGAGCCTTACGACGGAGCTTTTTTTGCAATGAATATTGTGTTGCAAGGTTGTTGTCAAGATGCACGGTCATCCGACAGAGCATTACTGGACGTAACGACATGGACGTGGTGAAGCTCCAATACAATTTTAATATAACATATTCACATATTCAGTCCCTTGTGAAATACATTTCACCATTCTAGGAGTCAATAGTAGAGGTGACCAAATCAAAATTACAGTATTGTATTGTACAAATAAATGGTTGTACTTTCGTTATTCTTTATCTGTATATGTAGGTTTAAAAGTTCTTATTACGCTGGCATCCCTGTGCCAGTGGAACCTAGGAGCAGAGAATGTCATGTTTACTGACTGATAAATCTAAGCAACTTAGTTCGACAAATTTCATAGTTTTAGGGACAAAGTTTACTTGAACGGATGGGATGTTATTTAAACCAACCTTACTGTGAAACTAATAAATTGTTTAACCTGCCAGAAACAATGATCACTTGCTTCATTATTAAGGACATGTTTTCTAATTCCTTTCATTCAGTATTTATTCGTACGTGGGTTTAGCAGAATAATACGGAAGTTCATTCTTAGAACTATTTCTTTCAGCGCTACGCAGTGGCACAGCAGTATGTCTGCGGACTTATACTACTAGAAACCGGGTTTCGATACCCGTGGTGGGCAGAGCACAGATAGCCCTTTGTGTAGCTTTGTGTTTAATAACAATCAACACTTTTCTAGAGTCATTAACCGCTTTGCAGTTAAAACTAGACGTTGGAATGGGGAGCGATGAATAATACATTTACAATATTACGTAACATGTCATACGTGTACAGAGAGCGTCGTCCTAGTCTGCCTGTATAAAACTTTAACGTTGATAAGATAATTTCGTTCTGAGATAGAAGTTTGTTACTTCGGGCACCGATGGAAACGAAGGTTATGTTTCACTCCTCTGTGTGTGTGTGTGTTTGTTTATATGTTTGTCAGCAAGGTTTCTCAAAAACGGCTCAATGGAAAGTCGGTTTACATTTGAACTATGACCCAACTTAGAAGTGATTAGTTTTTGGAGGGTAAAGGTCACGAAAATACAAAAAATTCCCTATCTATTACCATTGGGACCGATTTTTCACGCTATTTTTGTTTTCTATAACTCATTTAAAAAGGATTTTGGTGGTCATATGTAGAATATTATTCTTCATTGTCCTACCTAAGATGGTCCGTGTCCGTTAATAACGATGGACATACGAACACATTTTCAAATATGATCAACGCTGCGTATGCTCTCTGTTGAGTACCCCTCCAGTTTCTTCTGCATTTCACGAATAGCTTATGTTATGGTAAGTTATGTTATGAATTGCGCACAAAGCTACACGAGGGCTATCTGCGCTAGCCGTCCTTAATTTAACAGAGTAAGACTAGAGGGAAGGTAGCTAGTCATCACCACCCATCGCCAACTCTTGAGCTACTCTTTTACGAACGAATAATGAGATTGACCGTCACATTATAACGCCCCCACGGCTGAAAGGGCGAGCATGTTTGGTGGGACAGGGATTCGAACCCGCGACCCACAGATTTCGGGCCTCACGAATAGCTAGCTACTCGAGGATTATCTGTACTAGTCGTCCCTAATTTTGATATGAAAATGAGATATATATATATAAATAAAAATATTTCCAAAACATACTTTCTGTCAAACAGATCAATTGCTTACTAAGTTAGGACATACAAGAAAAATTATACGAATCTGTTTATTTATTCTTTATGCTTTTCAATGTGCCTTGCATTAAAATTAATTCTCTAGAAAACGAATATTTTAATTACAAACTACTTATTTTTGTTATGTAAGCCTACCTGCTACATAATCTCCAAAACCTATGGTTGCTAACGAGATGAAACAGTAGTAGAGTCCTTCTAAGAATGTCCACTGTTCGATGATCACGAAGATACCTGCCGGAAGTATAATAAATACAACAAACCAAGGCAGGAGGAAAGTCATGCCATTGAGTACAAGCGCCACTTTGGAGCTGTAAAGCTTTTTGGCTCTTTCTAAACTCTTAATCAACTGCTTGCTGAAGTGATCACCGATTCCGGCTAGTAGAATGCCCGTCATAGGAATTCCTATCATAGCATAGAAGACACAAAAGATTCTTCCTGGGACTGTAGATGGCGCTAAGTGACCATAGCCTACAATAGGGAATTTCTCCACATGAATGATAGACGTGGTTTAAAAGCATACACTTGTTGTAATTTAATTAAACTTATTTCTGTATTTGATTTATTCTTTAACCGGTGAATACCAAATCCTTTGAAAGATTATCATGGACTGTTTGGAAATGTTTGGAAATGCAATTTTAATCATTCAAACACAATCATAACGTGATTTAAAAAAAAGAAACAGTATAAAGACATTTATTACGATCAGATTAAACTGTAATAACATATTTAAACTAATTGGAGTATAAAAGATTTGTTTTATTTTTATTAAACAAACCAACAATATTGTACAAGTATGACGTCAAATGTATCACCAGCTTATTACAACTTATAATCATGTGATTGTATCTGAATAATATAAAGCTGGAAGAACACGTTACTGAATTAGTAGCAACAATAAAAATGTGCTAATAAATAAAATTAATAATTATTATTTTTTAACAAAAAACAAAGTCATGCTATCTCAAGAGCAAACTCAAATATTGTTAAAACAAACACATTCTCAAAATTATTCGATATCACTAGAATATCTTCATTCACTGATCACGTATTCCATAATCCTAAGGAATATACTGGATAAAATGGTTGTGGTTTCTTCTTTATAGACCTTTTCTATTGTTTTTTGACAAGTCTTTTGTCACACTAATCGGAATTTAACCAGGCCAACATGTTTGTTAGAGTTGATTGTTTGCCAGCTAAGTTTTGAAGAAACTCAAAGAAAGTAGACTTGATCACAAGTAGAAAGATTACTCATTTCCATCGCTGTGTGTTTTAGATTTTTTAACTTTTTCTGTTCAATCTGATTAAGAAATCATTCTTTAGAAATTTTTTTTTTTTCTGGTTCAGAACGTATTTTGTTCTATTGTAAACTAAAAGAGCTTTATAAAAATAAAATCTTTCAGTCACATCACGTGAATGAAAATACAACGACAAACGAAAGAACAAGAAATAAGAAGCTTGTCTTATGAGTAATTAATATTGACTTCTGATCAAAGCAAGTTCAAAAACAGATCAAATATGTTTATTAGAGAAGAAACAATTGGTATGAATCTACGGCTCCTAATTGTATAGTTTCATCGAAATTCTGAAAACCTGAAATTACTCAAAAATAATTTTCATTACTCTTTAGTGAATATTGTTCTCTCGCTAGAGGGAAAATCCTTTTGCCTTCTCCCCCCCCCCTCCAGTTAATACAAATGGTGACACAGTGTAGCCCCTAGTGGCACAAACAAACAATCAAACAGACGCGATGCCCTTTTCCTCCTTTTCTTTTCTTGTGATCGATTGTCCGTTGTAAAATACACAGTTACATAATAGACAATTTGAGCTGCGCCCATCGCAGGGATCGAAGAAAAAATTTTAGTAATATAATCCCTCAAGCATACCGCTGATTATAAACGAAAACGAAAAGCTATATACATTTCTGAGCTATTATGAAATGAACGCATAAGCGTTATTATACATCAAACAAAATAAAACTGTTATCTACTTACTATACCTCCTTTTTAAATAATAGTCCTTTTCAGCAATGAATTATTATTTTTAAAACAAATTTTATTTATGTATCGCTGAGGTTAAACTGGTTAACTTAAACGTTTCTGTCTATTTTTGTCGTTTAATTTTCTTTTTGTTTAACAGTGCTAAGTAAGAAACATTTTCGTCACTATAGTGCAGTAAATAATTTTGTTTGTTTTTTTGTTGTTTTGCATTTAATATTTTTTAATGTATACTATTTACATATAAAGTTTTATATTCTAACTCTAACCAGTGCTGGGTTCCAGATTTTATCTAGGGTTGGTTTTAGTGTATATGGGGAAACTGAGCGCAGCAGGCGCAGAATGGTATGGTTATGGGAGTGGGCCTCCCACTCTCATCCCAGGTAGGGAGTCAGGACGGAGCCCCAGCCACCAATGCATTTTACACATCTAGACTCCCCATATAACATAGGACAGCAATTTTTGATGAATTTAGTAGTAAAAATGTTCATTATTACCAAAATAACCTTAATCATACAATATACAAATATACACCCTCTCCACTAAGCACTTACAAAGCGAAATATACATACGTCTTTATCAACCAGCACTACCATTTCATACAAACAAAACCAGATACACTATACGAAGAATAGCCTAGTTTTTCACGCACAGCCAATTACAGTGTCCTATACAATATAATTAGGAATACCGGAAACATGCAATTTGAAGTGATGACATAAAGTTTATGTAGGCATTTCAAAGCGCACAACACTTTACTTTCAATCTTACTGATTATATGTCTTATTTTTTACAAAATCACATGACTAAATGATTTTTCTAGAGAGAGGAGGGTCAACGAACTCTGTGAACTCCATCTGCCTCTGCTAACCAAGTCTACCTTACTTACCATGTTTTACCTTGGTCTTTGTTTATCGTGCAGGATTCAAGATCTATAGCACATCTGCGATTACCACTTTTAACCAAGTCTACCTTACTTACCATGTTTTACCTTGGTTTTTGTTTATCGTGCAGGATTCAACATCTGTAGTACATCTGCGATTACCACTGTTAACCAAGTCTACCTTACTTACCATGTTTTACCTTGGTTTTTGTTTATCGTGCAGGATTCAAGATCTATAGCACATCTGCGATTACCACTGCTAACCAAGTCTACCGTACTTACCATGTTTTACCTTGGTTTTTGTTTAACGTGCAGGATTCAACATCTGTAGTACATCTGCGATTACCACTGTTAACCAAGTCTACGTTATTTACCATGTTTTACCTTGGTTTTTGTTTAACGTGCAGGATTCAACATCCGTAGTACATCTGCGATTACCACTGTTAACCAAGTCTACGTTAGTTACCATGTTATACCTTGGTTTTTGTTTAACGTGCAGGATTCAACATCTGTAGTACATCTGCGATTACCACTGTTAACCAAGTCTATCTTATTTACCATGTTTTACCTTGGTTTTTGTTTAACGTGCAGGATTCAACATCTGCAGTACATCTGCGATTACCACTGTTAACCAAGTCTACCTTATTTACCATGTTTTACCTTGTTTTTGTTTATCATGCAGGATTTAACATCTGTAGTACATCTGCGATTACCACTGTTAACCAAGTCTACCTTATTTACCATGTTTTACCTTGGTTTTGTTTATCATGCAGGATTCAACATCCATAGTACATCTGCGATTACCACTGTTAACCAAGTCTACCTTATTTACCATGTTTTACCTTGGTTTTTGTTTAACGTGCAGGATTCAACATCTATAGTACATCTGCGATTACCACTGTTAACCAAGTCTACCTTATTTACCATGTTTTACCTTGGTCTTTGTTTAACGTGCAGGATTTAACATCTGTAGTACATCTGCGATTACCACTGTTAACCAAGTCTACCTTATTTACCATGTTTTACCTTGGTCTTTGCTTAACGCGCAGGATTCAACATCTGTTCATATACATCCATACTTTTCAGTATTCAGACTCATTGTCCATTTAAACCCAACATTATTAGAAATGCCAAAGAAGCAAGGAAACTGTCAATATTAGTTATGTAGATATTTTCAGACAAGATGTGAATGCGAAATAAAACTTGTTTGCGTGCTTTTTCAACGAAGGTATTTTGTCATCAAAACGTCAAAGAAAACGACAATGTTTAGAATGTATATTCGTTTAAGATTTTTTTCATTACATGGTTTTAAAATACCTCTAATAGGGCGCATTTCTAACCTACCGATTGTTGTAACGACTGTAATCGCAAAGAAAAAAGAATTGTAAAAACTCCAGTTGAGGTTAGTGTTGTTTCCGTAATCGTCCATTAGATTTTTACTTCTCGCCTCCGCCAGGTGGTGCACCAATCTCTGGATGTCTCCTTTAGTAAAATTTGGATGATCCATCCGTAGAAGCTTATCTTTTTCAGAAGAAAAAAGCAAAACACATATTTTTTAGCTTTGTATCAGAAACGTCTACAAGCAAATACCCCTTAATTTTAATCAACTAATTTCGCGGAATAGATTGGTGAACCAGACGCGTTAAACACTTTGTACATAGTAAACTAGTATACTGTTTTTAAATTGATATTACTTCTTTAAGGCGAGGTATTGAGTAAAACGCTGAAAATATCAGAAACAAAATGATTCATTTTGTTTGAAATTAATTAAATTTAGGTAGAAAAATATTGCACGAGAATATGCCACATTTATTTTTTAATTATTAGTAAGTAACCGTTCACAGAACACCGTTGCAATACGATAAAATCAAAAACAAAAAAGTGGAAAAACTTATATCACAAAAAATGGCTGATGTTAAAGAAATGTTTTAATGTTCACAACTAGAGTAAGGGCATCCCAGCTGGAAACGTTGTGGACATTAAAACATTTCTTTAACATCAGCCATTTTTCGTGATATAAGTTTTTCCACTATTTTTGTTTTGGATAAGTTTTTCCATGTTTGCTTAAGAAATCACAAGTCTGCAATAGTATAAATATTTAAAATCTATTGTATGTGTAAACCAGAAAATATTCAACAAAAGTTCACCAATAACAGAAATCAGTTTAGCAGTGCCTATCTTGGTCACAAACAATACCAATTTGCTTTCTAATGTTTGATTCTTTTACTGAATTTTTTTGTGTATTAAATGTTGTTTGCAAATTTAGATTATAACATGCAACTGCAGCTCATCAGATAGGACAACACGAGGGTACTGCAGTCAGTGTTTCAGTAGTATACAGTGTATGCTAAAAGTCAGGAATCGATGAGTATTCAGTGAGTTAACGTTATTTCAGATCTAAAAAAAAATACAGATTCACTGAAGCAGGTAAATGGTAAAAATCTATAATACTTTGCAACGTATTTGTATCTGTTTTGTTACTAGATTTATGTCTTTTGACGTACCGGATAGTATTATGTAACGCCCTACACCATTATTTTGATTAAAAATTAAGGTAACTTTAATAGGATAAAACTGGACTAGTTGTCAGATAGTTAATTAAACTTTCTATGGATCTAATTAACATAAAATGGAATACACTATAACCAATGTAGGCTTAGTTCTAAAATAGTGGTATCGTTCGGACTCAGCATAATGAGATTTAAAGTATAAAGCATGCTTCAGTTTTGTATTTCCAGTATCACACTGGCTAGACAAATTAATAACAAGAAAACCGCCTATGTACAACAGTTTTAATGTAGTATAAAATACAAAGTTATTATAGTTGTTAAACAAATATTCTGACCCAGTGTTAAGTATCACCACAATCAAATAACATTATGCTCCATACACTGGTAAACATTTGGCTAAACTATTCCAACACTATATAGTAGCTGTGTCAGGGCTTGGAAAATCTGCCAGCAGACATAATACTCCATGTTCATATAACTAATACGTATGCAAAAGAAAAACAAAAACAACAACAAAAAACAAACAAACAAAATGGAAGGATGACGTTAAAAATGAAGCCTTGTTTCTAGAATAATTGCCGGGTTGAGATTAAATATGACTAACCGGCAGTAAGTGAGCGACAGTCTTTATTGAATTTAGAGTTAGTTCTATTTAAATAGATGACGTTAGATATATGTGTGTATTGTTTTAGTTGGTTCTATTTAAATACATGACCTTAGAATATATATATATATATATATATATCAGTGTATTGGTTTTTATTTGCTGTCGTTGAACTTTAAGTTAAATTAATTATAGTTTTTATAAGAACCCATGAGTGAAAACAAAGGAGAATACGTTACAATACATCATCCGCACTACATCTGCCATATCCAGTGCCAACGAGGCCTATCGAAAACACTAGGGCTTTTCAGGCCGGCTAGAATACTACAGACATAGGAGTGTTCTAAGCGCTATATATATATTCCAAGTTTCATGAACAACTGTTAGTGTGTGAATCAGATTAATCACGTGAATTGTAATTATCATCAGTATTATCTAAGACATTTATAAATCGTATATTTAGATAATAAATAATAACACAACATGATTTCTTTCATTTTTACACTACTGATTTATTTTATATAGTCATTATTTTTGAGTCAACTTCACTATCATTCACAAAGCGCCCCCAGTGGCACAGCGGTATGTCTGCGGACTTACAACGCTAGAAAATGGGTTTCGATACCCGTCGTGGGCAGAGCACAGATAGCCCATTGTGTAGCTTTGTGCATAAATTCAAAACAAGCAATCATTCACAGGAACTTTTTGTTCCCGGAGTGGGTCAGATAACCACATCATCAACAGGAGAAAACTACATTTTTTGTTTTAGGACCCAGTAGTAAAAGCAACGGATATATATACCATGTCTTTTTGTTTGTTTGCTATTTGAATTTCGCGCAAACCTACACGAGGGCTATCTACGCTAGCCGTCCCTAATTCAGCAGTGTAAGACTAGAGGGAAGGCA